CCCCCCCCCCCGCCTCCCCCAAGGGGACACAGCTGCCCTGTGGTCCTAGACCAGGAGTCGGCAAGCTTTCTCTGTAAAGGGCCAGATAGGAAATACTTAGGCTTTGCAAGTCACATAGTGCCTTTTAGGACTACTCAAGCCTGTCACAGCCGTAGACAGGATGTGAATTAATGACAGCGCGTTCCAGTAAAACTTTATTTACAAAGACAGGTGGTGGACCGGATGCGGCCCCCAGGCTATAGTTTGCCAACCCCTGCCCTAGACCACTGGTTTGGGAAATGGAGGGAGAGGACAGAGAAGGAGGTTGGGACCTCTGAGCTCTGGCCCTGCCGGTCGGAGGTGCTGAAATCTCTGGCCTGGGGACCAAGGAGACAGGTTGCCTGGGGAGGCTGGTGGGGGTGTGTGTCTCTAACCCTTCCTACCCCCATCTCCTGCGATGTTTGTGGGTGCCACTGGCACGGGGAGCATTAGCTAATACGCATGTCCGTCGGCCAGACCTCATCAGGTCCTCGTGGCAACCCTGGGGCAGAAGCAGCTCAAGGATTACTTTTCACCTGGGTTTTATGAAGAAACTGAGAGGTGGGCTCACTTTTCCAAAGTCCCACGGTCAGGAAGCAGCGGAGATGGGGCTTGAACCCGGGTCACTCTGACCTCATACTACCTCTAATCAGCCGGGTCCTGTTCCCTGTCTGTCCTCGCCCCCTTACTGGCACTTTTCAGGGATGCCGGTGGGCCCGTTAGGAGGGTGGCCTCTTGCAAATGCACGGTCACCCAGTTTTCCATCAGAACAGTGGCCGGAGGAGGGGCTCCCGGCTCATCTGCTCCTTTCCTGGGTCCCCTCCTCTGACTGGGAGGCATTCCCAAGATATCAGGAAAGGATGCTGAACCTAGAAACAAGGAGGTCTGGAAGGAGGGCAAAGATCTGCACCGACGGCCCTGGCCGTAACGCGGAGGTCTGGGAGTCCGGGGACAGTCCCCAGCCTCCATGGACCAAACGTACAAATCGCTGGCTCTCCCAGACTCGCCCCACTTTATTAGGCCAGCCCTGCGCCAGCCTGGGTTTCCTCATGCCTCCAAGGGCCAGCTTTGCTTAGATCACAGAGGCAGACTTTCCTGGGGTCCCCCAGCGAGACCGCAGCAGCTCCCTCCTACACGGCAGGCACAGGGCCCTGGGGCCGCCTTCACCACGCGGCCTCCAGCCTCCACAGCTCCCGTGGCCACTCAGACAAGGAGGTGTTCGGGGCGCCAGCTGAGCCGAGGCCGGAGGGTGGGCTGGGCTGGGCCAACCTGGGCACCTCAGGGCGGGCTCGGG